TTTCTTTTTTTTTTTTTTTTTTTTTTTTTTTTAAATGCAGAAGTGCAAAATAATACATAGCGTATTTTGTATATGCCATATGTTATGTATTAAATATCATGTAGTATATTAGTCATATTTATATTCCGTATTATATAATACATAATCATGTCATTACATATTGTTGTATAATATATACACTCAGACCATTAGTCATAATTATATATTACTTATATAATTAATTAAAACCACACAGCCTCGCACAACCTCCTATTCTTTTCTGTACATTTGTACTCTGTACAGTCTCAGATGATACCCTTTTTCTTTTCACAGCTACAAGATAATATATTAAGTAAGTACACTGATAATTCCTAATCTGTAATGCATCGTGTGTGTACGTGCGTGCACACCCTGACTGTCTCCTGGTCTTGTGTGTATGCGGGGCACTACTATAACAGCTGTGTATACCAAAAAAAATGACACTGTCTCTCTTTAGGTATTTATGACCCATCACGTGCACTCACTCCTGCTCTCACATAGACAGATAGGTCTCTGCATGCGCTCCATCCACTCCCCCCCCCCCCAGAACTTTTTTTATGTATGTGTGTGTATATAATACATAGCACATAATACATAATATTACTATATAATGTATAACATAATAAAATATGATCTGTTAGCTAGCATAGATAAGGTATGTCTAAAACACATAGAAACCTGTGCTTTTATACACATACTTTCATAATCTATGCACACACGGTCTCAGATACTCTTTCATGGAGGGGGATATATATATATAAAAACACTATACATTGAAAGATATATTTTTTATCTATAAACACTATAACAGGAAACATGTAATAGAGAACATACAACACTATCTTATATACAGTGCATATGTCACATATAGCTTATACATAGAACACATATTTTTATATGTGTATTTGTGTGTGTATGTATACACATATATTTAAAAAACCCCACCACCCAAATGGTTGGACTTGATATTAAGGGTCTTTTCCAGCCTAAATGAGTTGATATTGCTACATTCTCTATACACACAATAGCAGACAGACCTTTACATAGCTAAAATGTGTAACTTATTACACGTAACCTAATTGATGATATACTTTATATTGCATATATAAAATATAGACAGCCACACCCAATGCTCACAAACACCTGTTCTCCTGTACATGTATATGGGCTAACAGACGTATAAATAAATAGATGCAAGTTGGCCATGCCATCCCGGGGTGCCCCCTTGCCCCCGCGTTGGGCTCCCGGCGCCGCACCCCCACAAACTGAAGCTGCTCGTCTGCATTTCGTCCCGTGGCACTGGGCGTTGGTGTCAGTCGTGCCCCGGGGGGCCCACACCGGCTCCATGCCCACTCTGGCTGGCCGAAGCACAGCTCGGCCCGGCTCGGCACAGCCCTCGCTCGGCCCCTCCAGGGCCACAAAACTCACCCTCTTCCAGCAGCGGAGGCCAAACTGACCCCGTTGGCCAGAGCAGGCTGCTGGCCTGGGCAGCTGCTCTTCACCGACGCCTTCCTGCGAGGCAGCGGCATTTGGGAAAGGTGAGGCGAGCCCTGCCACCTCGTCCGCCTCCTCGGGCACACAGCTCCCACCCACACCAGTGGGTTATTTCATAACCCTACGAGGTGCTTACACCACAGGTATTTGTTACCTTGCGTTTCACTGCTCAAAGATTTGTTGCCTTTGTGCTGTGTCTTTGTTTTTCAAATACGAAATGATCCTGACTCAGTTTCCAAGCCCTTGCATAAAGGATGGATGGGCGTGTGGGATGAGATGGATGCTTTTTCACCAGGTCAGGTCCTCACACCTTCCAAGCTTGTTTAAATCCCTTTTGAAAATAAGATCTTACAACTCTCAGGGACTTTTATATGCTTGGAAAGTAGAAAGATGACTGAAGTTTGAAGAGCAGCTCTTTATTGAGCGGACCATACAGGACTACGGGGGATTGCATCTTGACTTGCAGTTTTCACAGGCCACACTTGCTCCTAGCACCGTTTTATCAGGTACAGTACAAACCCTGCTTCTACTACAACTGTGCAAGAGTTTGCAGAGATCCCTGCTCTGCTCCAACCACTCCTCATAAAAGGAACAAGCTTGTAAGAGAAGAAAGGGAAAGTTATGTTGCCCATCCATGTTGATAATAGGAGAAGCCATCCAGTTATCCTTTGATGTAAAGGCAGATCCAGACAGCTGCTGTGCAGAAAAGCCTGCTGCACTTGCCACATAATCATTAATAGTGCACCAAACCCAAGATAAACAGGGCTCTCAAAGCTCAGGGAATATCACTAGTAGCACTAGAGGGAAAAAAAAAATAAATCAAAATATTTGTCACTTTTTCTTCATGCTGTGACTCAAAACTTAGGACTTTGAGGCAAGGAAGGAAAAGGAAAGCAGTAGTACCCTATTTGGGCTGCCTACTTTTTGCGTAAGAAAAGGAGGCAGCAGTAAGTCCGACGGGCAGTCAGCACAGCAACTGCTGGAACAGTTTTGAGACCAATTTTAACTGTAGAGATGCCAGAATGCCTGTGCAGTTCATTGTACACAATAACGTAAAATTAAACATCAACTTTTTTTAGTAGTTACTTTATTAAAGCTACAAAACCCAAGTTAAAATCACTACAATATTCACATATAGCTAAGTTTCTAACTTCATTAAACAAGGACAGACCGGTGCCCCAAAGGGCACAGGAACACCGACCATTTCATAGCTGCTAGCTAGTTTAAGACTACAGATGGTGCGTCCTCAAGATGGAGCACCAGTGGATCTCACAGGGCAGCTTGGAACAGTTCC